TTTCTTAAATCCACCCCTGCTCTCAGGACAGCAGTGGTTGTGTTTTCAGGCCTTACCCAGTCTGCGTGTATCAGGTACTGCAGTTTGTGGGTGACGAGCACCACGGTTCGCTTGTCGTCCTGCAGAAACTTGAGGATTCCTTCCTGCATCAGGTGATCGCTGAGGTGGATGTCCAGCGCTGAGAACGGATCGTCCTGTTTGATGTGAAAAACAGATTTAAAGTTACCAGACCAAAACAATCAGTGATCCTTGGAGCGAACTGAGAATATGTCAACACCTCCCCATTGGTTTCATGTCACGCCTGGCGCCCGACACTGTTTGGATAATTCAAGCTTCAGCCACGCCAGGAGAACGTCTGCCAAACACAGAGACGTGGTGTGGATGGGTGGGTGCGGGTGTGATGAGGAGGGGCCATGACGTAAGATCAGATATGGTCTGTCATATTCAAATGATGTCAAAGAAAACATCTGACGGAGGACGGTTTGACGGATTTAGCAGCTGCAGACGTTCCCATGTGTCAGGAGGGGCAGAACGACGGAGACGGGTGTTAATGTGGAATATATGCATGGTGAGAGCAACAGGAAATCAAACAATTCAATTAGGGAGAGATTCACACGTGACGGCAAACGCAGCAGGAGAACAGATGCTTCAGAGATTCTTCTGCTGATACCTTCTGACATAGTGGTTCCCCTGATGACAGGAAACCATGAGCTTCATGCAGGAGGAGTAAGAGCCGAGATCCTTAAGTAAGACGAGTCCATACTGATTCAGAACCAGCCTTCCAGCCTCAGCCACGGAGGCAGGAGGGCCATGGTTTGGAGATGACAAACCCTTGTGGGAGCCGAATCTACGTTATCCAAAGCTGACCGTTTCCCCTTTCACTTGACAACTCTGTAATCTCCCTCCTCAGCTCAGTTCAAGAGTCTGGGTGTTATCATTAATAGTACAATGTTCTTTTCCTCTCACAATAACAACCTTGCTTAATTTTACTAATATCAATCGTCTTCACCCGTCTCTCTGTCTTGGTTCAACCTCTACACTTGTACATATTTTGTCACTTTCTGCATCGATCACTGTAGTTCTCTTCTTTTTGGTCTACCTCAAAAATCCTTAAACCAGCTTCAGGCGGTCCAAAGCTCAGCAGCTTGCATAATTTCTACAACCCTTCTTGCTATCAATTCAATTCAGTTTATTTCTATAGCGCCAATTCACAACACATGTCATCTCAAGGCACTTTACAGTTCACCAGATCATCCAGTCAAAGTTTTTTATGTAAAGAAAACCAGTTAATTGCCTCGACTCACTGACTCGAAGGCAATTCCTTACACTAAGCATGCTTGTAGCGACAGTGGAGAGGAAAAGCTCCCTTTTAACAGGATGAAACCTCCAGCAGAACCAGGCTCAGTGTGAGCGGCCATCTGCTGAGGCTGACTGGGGTTCAAGGAGACAGAAGCAGAGATAAAAAAGCAGCTGTAAAAGGCGGCCAGAGAAACAGGACTACACTGAAAAAAGGCTAATCTCCAACATCTATAAACAAAGGTGTTGATGGCAGCAGCACAGCTGATATTTCTCTCCAGGATGGAGTCACAGCCAAACAGGAACAGACCAGATGAAGCTACTATGAGAAAAAGCAGAGAGAGCAGAACGTTAGAGATTGAACTAACAGATTCTGCTGAGTGGGAAAATAAAGATAGAATGAAGCAGAATGATGAAAAAGGGGTCCCTATGTCCTCCAGCAGTCTAAGCCTATAGCAGCATAACTATAGAGATAGCTCAGGATAACCTGAGCCACTCTAACTATAAGCTTTATCAAAGGAAATGTTTTAAGCCTAGCCTTAAAAGTAGACAGGGTCTGTTTCTCAATTCACAAGAACGCAAGTTCGGACTGGTGTCCTCGCAAAGTATGTTCTTCAGAAGAAAACAGGAAAGTTTAGATTGGAGATGGGAGCATGCAGCATAAATATGGGTCAATTTGAACAGAAGCGTACTCGTGGCGTCACCACATGCTCTGCTCATCTGCAGCTGTATTTCCCCTCCTGGTATTAATAGTCTCTAGATAATAATAAATTCTTAATAATAATGAACACTGTCAGATAAACACAAACCAAATAAACATTTAGCCAATTTAACAAAAAAATAGCCATCAGAGCCAGCGGTGCTTCACACACGGCTATACAGAGAGAGGGCTGCTGCAGACGGGTTAACGTTAGCCCTGGCTGCCGTTAGCCTCAGAGGTCCGCTGGTTATGTACCATGATCCTCTCAACTTCTGAAATTTTTTGTTAAATTACGCATTAAATCACTAAATGGGTCATATAGTGATGCTTAAAGGTATAATGTTCTCGCCCCAAATTATCTTAAAACGTACATTTATTGAACAAAGGCAACAGAAAAGAGAACTTTTAACTTAATACTCTGAGCTCTGTGAGCTGCTGCTGCCACAGTGCATGCTGGGACAGCTGTGAATCTCAAGAACGGACAACTCTGCTCTGATGGATACTGGGTACTGGGCATACTTTAGTTTTGTATGGAAAATACACTTTTAACTACCTAAACAGGCTTGTATCTCTTTAGTCATGTACAAAAAAAAAATGTAATTACTTACTTTTTGCTGTTTTTTTAAACGTATGACTGTCTGACCACAAATTGTCTTTAAGACTAAAGGGATACACCCCTGTTGAGGTATTTAAAGCCTATTTTTCATACAAAACTAAAGAGATAAATGCAAACTGACGTCTTGCGCATGCGTATTGAGTATAGGTATGCTGGTCTGACAGGACACCGGTCCGATCGCTGCGTACCTTCTGTTCTGAAGGTAAACATGTTTTAACCATTGATGAGAAATGCGGACTCACCAAAAATACGATGTTGGTGTTTTGATAGAGAGCTCTGCCCACACAGATCCTCTGCCTCTGACCTCCACTTAGGTTGATCCCCTGAAACAAAGGTCAGATCAGACTCCAAATAAGAGGAGATCTCTCCAGGTTTTGATGGTGAACATTCAGCCCTAAGCAACAGAACACAGAGACACCGACCCTCTCCCCGATCTCAGTTTGATCTCCAAACGGCAGCAGGTCGATGTCCGGCTGAAGAGAGCAGGCATCGATTACAGCTTTGTACCTAGAAAAAATTAACCAGACAGCCATCACAGACGGCCCAGATCCTGCAACCAGGGTCCTATCGGTACTGGGGTGTGCTGTTTACCTCTGTTTGTTGAAGGGACTGCCGAAGGTGATGTTTTCCTCCACCGTGGCGTTGAGCAGCCAGGACTTCTGGGCAGCGTAGGCCACTGAGTTTCTGTTCTTGCTGGAGGCAGAAAAAACATGAAATGAGAACGACGCATTCAGACTCAGAGAGGAGACTGCTGATGTACTGTCACAGTCAGGTCTCATCGCAGTAAAGAGCGGTTCTCCGCGTGGACACGCGCAATCACCCACACATCTATCTAAGCCTAGGCACCTTATGTTCTGGGAACGGATCCTGCTGGTAGATAGCATAAAATATAAGTTTTAAAAGCTCTAAGCTGATTAATCAACAATGGAGCCCAAGAAGATCCAAGAGGAACCATAGATCTAGACAATTTGGGAAAGTCTTTTGGATCTATTTCTGAACAACCGTAGTTTCTCTGATGTACAGCCCAATCCACAACAACCATTTTTACTGGGCACTTATATTCAGTTTGACAGGAGAAAACAAATAAAATATATCTAGGTGAGAAATGGCTTGGACTGGTCATACTGTTGAAATGCTCAGGGAAGATGAAGAACATAGTCTGCCCCAGAGTCCTTCAAATGGACCTGAAATGGTTGAAGTTGGTTGTATACTCCCGCATCAGTGTGTCGCAGTTATGATGCAGATATTTTTGATTTATGCCCAATTTTGTAGTGTGGTCTGCTATTCCATGCCACAACGCAAGAGGGACAATCAGGAACTAACTAGGACTGCGGGTGTCAATGTGTCGGTTTGACGACACATTGATAACCCCTCATCCAACGGTGGACGACACACAGTTCACCCGTGAGTGTTCCCCAAAGACTGGCTGTGGCGCTGAGTGTTTTGGCTTTGGGTACAAACCAATAGTCCGTCGCTCAGAGCTACAAACTAGCATCCTGCACGGCTTCTGGGATAGTGTCCGAGGTGTGCCAGGCGCTGTGGATGGAACTACAGCCAGAGTTGCTGCCATTAGGTACCAAACAGGAAATATGCATAGTGTAGAGTGGATGTAGAATTGACCAATCAGAGGCATCCTTCCTTTCCTCCATGCGACGCTATCTGCGGCCCTGTCTGCGGTCACCTACAATTTTGGGGAGGTACACAAGAGTTAACTGCGACACACATGAATACGACCTGGTTTCTGAGCATAAACCAGGATTTAGTGGGGCTTTCTAACAGAACAATAAAACGAAACGCACATCAGAACCAGGACTGGACTAACGGATGGGGGAAAAATTGAGCTTCTAGCCTGGATTTCTCAAAGATCTGAGTGTTAAATTGACAAGTAGGCAAGTAAAGCCCACTCCACCGATCCTCTGATGGTGTCTGAGTTACACCAAAAGGCGGTTAAAATGCTTTAAAATCCAGGGCTCCATATAAAGACACAGGATTCTGCTGTCATTGTTAACAGAAAACACTTCTACACATCTGTGTGGGTCGTAGTTCTCTGCTGCCTGCTGTTTCATTTCCAGACACCGAGAAACCGATCAGTAACAGTACATCAGATCAGCAGTTTATGAAGGCGGCAGGATGACGACGGCAGTGATGATTGGAAAACAGTCAAACTCCTACACAACACCATGAAAACACCCGTTCACCAGATATGAGGGATAAATATGGAGGATGGAGAGGGTTAAAGATGACCTGCAGGAAAAAAAAACTTAAGAGCAGCGCCAGACAAAGCAACACAAACATGAAAACATTGGCGCCCTGCTGGGAGTCTCGCCTGGGAGCTGCTGAAGAGACAAGAACTCTAAAAGCTGGTAGGTTCATCTTAAACATTGATTGGGGCCAAATCAATATTTTAAATATAAAATAGGTAAATTCTTTTTAAATAGTTCAACCACCAAAGGTTGATTACCTCCTCCAGGGAAGGTATGAAATAAACTCACTGCAGAGGTAATTGGACTGAACAAAGTCTCGACGGTGTATAATAATGGAAAAGGCTGATTTATTTGTGAAGCTTGTTTAATAAAGAAGAGCTGGACCCTCAGCATGAGATTAAAGAATGACGTCTAACAGGAAAGACATCTATTTACACAAGTTTACAGTGGAGAAAAGTGAGGTTTATAAATCTAATGTAGAAGAGGAGGGAGGCCAGTTCCTTCACATCTCAACCCTCATCAGGGACCAACAGGAAGTCATTGCTCAGCAGACCTTAGTGACATAGGTGGAGTTTATAGCAATCGGATCACAAAAGGAAAAGTTTCATATTCATAGTAGAGCAGTTCCGTCTCAATCTCAATCCAAAAGTAGAATGGGAGGCAGATCTTTTAGTTATCAGGCTCCTCTCCTGTGGAACCAACTACCAGTTTTAGTCCGTGAGGCAGACACCCTGTCTACTT